GTACACATGTACGTGTATATATAAACATATTTATGTGTCATTCTTTTATGAAAAATGGCGTCATACTGTGCACTCTTTCCCACATCTTGCTTTTCATACTTTTTTGTACCTCATGGAAATCCCTCCTAGTCAGCTGATGAAAGTCAGATTCATCTTTCTGAGTGTTCGGGTAATGTTCTGAGTACAGGAGTACTGATTTATGCAGCCATTCCTCTACCAAGAGCCATTTATTTTTTGCCACTATGAACAATGCTGCTGCAACTGCTCTTGTATGGTGGGTGGTCTTTCACAAACGAGTAATATAAATCACTACCCTCCACTCTACCTACTCCCCTGAAATAAACCTTAAAGATTGCCATGAGTTTTCTGTGAATTAAAAATTAGAGAAATATTTATACTATAAATAATCCTCCATAATCTCACCTGCCAGAGGTAACCGCCATTAAATTTGGAGTATATTTTTCTCGGCTCTTTTTTTTATGCATGTGCCAACATGTACATACATAATATATTCCTAACAGAAGTGGACTTAAATAAACTTCTGCAGCTTTTTTCACTGGTAACCTCTTAATTGCCATTTTCAGTGGCTTTTTCCCTTATCATCTTGGCTCTGAAGCATCCCATCCTAGCTGTCTCGTGTGTGCTTCTCCCCCTTTCTGTCCCCTATGTGTAGTCACTCAAGTTTCAGTCCTCAAATTTCCAGGTATTTGTTTTTATTTTTAATTGGATAGCCCAGTATCCCATGATTACATCACTTTCCCTCTTCGTTCATTTTTCTGGAAATGGTTCTGACATCTCCCTCAGTACCCTGGTTCTTTGGCTTCCAAACCTCCCTTCCTTTGGCTCTCTCTCTCCTTTGGTCCTTATGTCTGAGCTGTCACCAAGACACTCTTAAGTTAGGACACTCTTGGCCAGTTTTCAGTCTTCTTCCTCCTCTCTCCCTCCAGCTGGTACTGTTGAGTTTTCGTAATTGCCCTTCATCCTGTTCAGACTCCCTGGCCAGATATTCAAGATTCTGCGTTCTGCTTCCAATCTTTCTTTCCGCTCTTCTCTCCCACGATTTCTTTCTCCCTCCTCTCTGCCTCCCAGGAGCCCTTTGGTGAAGCCAGGCTGGCTCATGTGGTCTGTCCCCTGTGCATATCTTTGGCTTGACTCTTTTCTGGCTCTTCTCTGCTATCCTAGAGTGCCCTCTTGACTCTGGCCTGGTGGTACTTGCTGATGAGGTGGATCGGTGTGCCAGTAATCCTAAGAAAGTGCTATCTTCCATCTCATGGACATTCTGCTGACTCAGGAGAATGGCTTAGTTTCTCAGAGCCAAGCTCTGTGGAATGGACCTCTCCCACACACTCTCACCTGGTCCGTAGGCTACTGTGAGGAGAGTTCTGTCAGCTCTCCAAAGAAGTCCTGTGTCCAAGGGCATTGGAAGGTGGGTGGGTAGGGCATTTACCATGGAAGGTCAGGGGCCCATCTTGCTCCATCTCTGGTGAGTGTCTTTGACTCTCCGGATGTGTGCCGGCCTCTGGATCTCATTTGCCTCATCTGTGAATTGTACTTGGGCCACCACATGGACCCCTAAGCCCCTTCTAGTTCTGTAGAAAGTATGACCTCCTTTAGAAAGCCTCTGGCATTAAGTCAGGAGTAAAGTAATTTGAGAAGCTCCATGGCTTCAGGCTCAGGTATAAGCTTGGGAAAAACTCCCTGCTGGAGAAGTCTCTATGGGAAAAGGGCTTGTTCAGTGCTTGCTGGGAGTGTCCATGAGCAAGGGGTGGCCGCCCTCTCCCTTGACCCTGACTTCTTTTCCACCTTTCTGTGACCTGGGTAGGTCAGCCTCCCACCTGGTCTTTAAAAAGATTGGAGCTAAGGCGACTGTGATTCCCTATTCTAGGTCAAATCTAACATCTTCTGAGGACTTAGGAGAGATCCCTCAACCTCAAAAGGTAAGAAAACCATCAGAGGTGATAAGGGGGGGGGGGACATTCCAGAGCTGCCCAAAACATCACTCAGCATAGAATTTCAGTGGTTTCTAACCAGGGGTTGCAAACTCAGATATCTATCAGGGCCAGGTAGGTAATTTAAGTGTGCGCTGTAGCAGGCTGGTTTTTTGTTTTGAAGCACTGCATGGGTCAAATGCAACACAACTGAGGCTACCAATTTTGCAGTCTGTACATGGACTATACCTAATTTTGTCCAGCAAAGTTGTGATAATGGTGGGATGAGCTGTATGGATTATTATCAAACCTGTTACATATTTAGTGTCTGTTAACGTGCTTGTGCTGGGGAATACAGAGATAATTAATACAAATTGAGATTAAATTAAGATAAATTAAATATGCCCTTGCCTAGAAAGAGCTCACAAGGAGTACTAACAAGAGCTGTCATTTATTGTGTAACTACAGTTTGCTGGAGCTTCTCATGTATTCAGGTGTCATTTAAGTCTCAAACCCAACCCCCCAAGGTGGGTACAGTGGATCTCTACTTTGCAGATGAGGAAACCTGTGGCTTATGAAAGTGATGTGATATGCCCAAGATATTATAGCTTCTAAGTGGGGGAGCTAGGCAGAATTCCAGCCCAGAGCTGTGGGACTCTGCATCTGTGTGCTTCCCCTCACACTGTGCTGTCTGCATGTAAGGACAGACATGCACAGTATCATGCCATGAGTGGCAGATATGAACAAAGAGCCTGGGAACATGGAGGTGGCAGTGATGACTCTCATCTGAAAGTTATGGAAAAACTCCTTGGAGGAGTTGCCAGTTGAGCCAGACTCAGAAGAATGAGTAGAGTTCGCCTGTGGGGGAGACAGGCTGTATTGTGTACAGGGGATGGTGTGAGTAGAAGTGGAATGCTTGCCATGTTTGGAGGTGGTGGAGAGCAGTTGGTGTGCCTGAAACATGGTGTGTGCATCAAAACTAGAAACCAGAAAGATAGGTCAGAGCTAGATTGTGAAGGGCTTTGAATGCAACACTCACACTCAGAAGTTGGGGGTGGAGGGAGTAGCTATGAAGAGTGTCAGAGCCAGGGTAAAGTTACCAGATTTCCCTCCTAGAAAGAGGACTGGTGCCAGTGCTCGAAGGTGAATTGGAAGGGAAGGCCAAACTCTGGTGTCAGGGGAGGTCATTGTACTTGTCCCAGCATAAAGCCAGGGTTCAGGGTGAGCAGGGATGTGGGAGAGGAAGGTCTGTATGTAGGAGCCTGGGTGGATGGTGAGAGCACAAACACACTCACCTGTTGGGCTCCAGGAAGGCGGGGACCCTCACTGTGTTCACTGTTGTATTCTCAGTGCCTGGCACACAGTGAATGTGTGTAGACCATGAGGGAATGGGTGGACGTTCACAGGAGGATGAGTGCTTTCACTCTTTTGGTAGCACTGGTGTGGGGGTAGTGAGCAATTCAATCCCCACCTTGTCTTTTGGCTTTTTGTACTAAAGTCTTCTCGGTGAGCAGCACCACTTGTTTGCCACTCAACTGTGGTCTAATTGTCCGTATTTGGAGTTTTGGGGGAGGCAGCCTTCGATGACCTGAAGCTTTAGTGACCTGAACAGTGGGCTTGCCAAGTGTCCAAATGAGTCACATGCAGGGGCTGAGGAGAGGAAGCATTGTTGAGGGCTGGAGGAGTGGAGGGAGGACGCTGAGGAAAAGCCCCTGAGGGAGGCGTCTGCATGAGCTTTGGGGTGTGTTTCAGGGGGGAGACCAAGAGTGGGTCAGATGAGCTGATCTGACTCGGGTGCGGTGTCTGGACTGGGCAGGACCAGATCACATTGTCTGGGAGAGATGGAGCTGGATTCCTTGGGGTCTTGAATTCTGACCACTGAAGATTTGAAACAATATGCTCCTACAGTTATGCACTACATAATGACGTTTTGGTCAATGACAGACCCCACATACAATGGTGGTCCCATAAGATTATTATGGAGTTGAAAAATTCCTGTTGCCTAGTGATGTTGTAGCACAATGCATTACTCATGTTTGTGGTGATGCTGGTGTAAACAGACCTACTGCAAAATGTTTTGTGGAGGAGTGCCTTGCTTACCCATGGGTGACCCTCCCAAACGTAGCTCGGACCTTTAAGATAGAAAGCCAGGCATTGGACACTTTAGGTCTGACCCCAAATGAAAGGGTACTTGAATTTTTGATTCCCACCCATCACCATAGCAAAATAACAGTAACAGCTAACACTCCTGGAGTCCTTTCTGAGTACTAGGCACAATCCCTATCTGTAATTTAATTTTCATAACTTTGTGGGGTTGGTATTATTCTTTTTTTTTTTTTTTTTCCTTTTTGTCTTTTTTCGTGTCTGGCAATGGATCGCAACCCTCGGTGTTGCGCCCTCAGCGGGAGCGCCGCTGCGCTCCCAAGCGGCGCACTGTAGCAGTGCGCCACCGGGCCGGCCCCGGGGTTGGTATTATTCTAACCCCCTTTAACAAATGAGGAAAGTGAGGCACAGAAAGACTTAGTAACATAACTAGAGGGCCCATGCTTATACAACTAGCAGCCAGTGTACATGATAGGAACATTTGTTGCAGTCCCCTTTCGTAATACACTTTCTTTTTTTTTTTTTTTTGTCTTTTTCCGTGTCCGGCAACGGATCGCAACCCTCAGTGTCGCCCGCGCACCGGACTGGGACCGGCAACGGGATCGCAACCCCCTTTTTTTTTTTTTTTTGTCTTTTTCCGTGTCCGGCAACGGATTGCAACCCTCAGTGTCGCCCGCGCACCGGACTGGGACCGGCAACGGGATCGCAACCCCCGGTGCTGCTCCCGCGCCTCGCTCAGCCAGTGAGCGGGAACCGGTCTGCATGTGGGATCCGAACCCTCGGGCGGGAGCGCCGCCATGCTTCCCAAGCGGCGCACTATCCAGTGCGCCACCGGGCCGGCCCCATAATACACTTTCACTCAAACGACAAAATCACCTAATGAGGCATTCCTCAGAACGTATTCTTGTCATTAAGTGACACATGACTGTAGTTACTGAACTGAAGTACTTTATAAATTAAAATCCTGTTATGCGTAAGGTGGGACCTTGGCTGTGTCCTCTAACCTCTCTGAGCCTCAGTTGTGGCATCTGTAAAAGGGGAATAATGTCTAACTCCCCAAAATCAGGAGAAGCAGTGTAGATTTTTCTGGATCTTCCTACGTCTAAAGGTGGTTAAGACTTATATGTTTCCATCAGTTCGTAACGTCATAACACTAGTTACCCTGTTCTTCCCCAAAGAGTCTCTAAATACGATGTGCTAAAAATGCTTGGTTCAGGAAATTAACTCTCACAGTCCCTGATTCTTGTAGTCAGATTCGTTCCAGCCACCCACTCCAGGTGGGTTACAGAAGAACAAGGAGGCCTTTAGCTCCCCGCCACCATTCATCACCCTTAGCCAGCCGCCTGACGTTCAGCATGGGTCTCAGCTGTTTACCAAGCTACACCTGGCTGAGATAGAGAATATGTTTGAGGAGGACGTCAACTCAACTGGAGGTAAAGCTTCCCCATGGGCTCAGGCTCTGTGACTTCTGCATATGGCATGTGGAGGGTTCAGACCTAACAAGCATTTTTGCATCCAGTGTCTCTTTAAAGCTTTTAATCATTGTGTAAATATCGTAAGCACGTTGGAGGCTATTTGGGATCTAGAAAATTTAAAAAATATATCCCTGGTTCAAATACTCAGACATAACCACTGTTATTAGCATTCTGGTATGTTTTCTTCTGGACAGTTTCACATGTATGTTTATTATCTATTGCTGTGTAACAGTATTCCCACAATTTTAGTGGCTTACCAACACACCTTTATGATCTCACAGTTCTGGCAGGTCGGGAGTCTGGGCATGGCTTAGCTGGCTCCTTTGCTCAGGGTCTCACAAGGCCATAATCAGGTTGTTAGCTGGGACTGTGGGATTATCTGGGGCTTGGCTGGGGAAGGACCCACTTCCAAGCTCACTTATGTTGTTGGCAGAATTCAGTTCTTATCACCCATAGGACTGAGGGCTTCCATTTCTTCCTGGTTGTCGGGGGGAAGCCACACTTGGCTCCTGGAGGCTACCCATGGTGGATCCATGTGGGATTCATCAGCATGGCTGCTTGCAAGGCTCAAGTCAACAAGTGAGAGAGAAACTCCAGTGAGATGGGTGTCACAATCTTATGTAATCATGCTCACATGGTTCCGTACATCCTGTCACCTGTGCCATATTCTGTTGGTTGGAAGCAAGCACAGGTCCCACCACACTCACAGGAGGCCATGAACACCGGGAGGTGGACATCATGGGGCCTCCTTAAGTCTCCCCACCACAAATGGCTACCTGTGCTTTCATATGTTTGTAATCGTGCTATATATGTAATTTCAGACCCTTCTTTTTCACTTAATGTTAATATCTTAAGAACTTTTCCATATTGCCATCTAGTCTTCCAAGCCGTCATTACTAATCGATGGAAGTGTTCTACTGGTTGACTAAGCCATCCCCTATTTTTGAATATTTAGGCTTTATTAATTTTAAATAATGCTGTGAGGATATACTTTGTGCATCAAACATTTTCTCTCTTTATCACTTTATTTTTTCCCTCTGGGATGATACTCCTAAAAGTCATATAATAGGAATTCTTAAAGACTCCTGCATTTCTGGCTGGAGCCCTTTCCCGTCTATCCCCTGAAATGGTCCAGCTGACGATTGTTGAGGAGACAGTAAAGAGACTGCTTTGACCTGAGGGTCCTCTGCATGTCCCCCCTTGGCACCCAGACACTGAGGACATTGTGGCTGGTGATGGGCTGAGTGACTTGTGGTTAGGGGGGTAATAGTCTTTCTTCTCTCTGAAGCCCTGGACATGGAGGCTTTCATCAAGGCCATGAAGAAGATTTTGAGCAATGTGTCGGATGAGATGCTAGAGGCACTATTTTTGAAGATGGACTCAGACTGTAATGGCTTCGTCACATGGGTAAGGAGGGTACCCCTGCTGCCTCAGGTAGCTGGAGGGAGCCTGCAGGGTACAGTCCTTGACCAGTGGAGTCAATGAAGAGTTGAAGATGAGGAGGCAGTCATGACATCAGAAAGCCTCCTGTGGACTCTGGCACCAGCTGGGGTGCTTGTCGGGTAGAGAGAACCCTCGGTGTCTCTGAGACTTCTGTGAGCTGGGGTCATTGCAGCTGATTCTCTTCCTGGAGTACAGGAGAGTGTGACAAGTGTCATTGGCCTCTGCATGGGACCTACTGAGTGTGCAGCTGTGAGCAGCAAGGGCCTCCTCATCTGCCATGCAGCTCTCCTGCACACCAGCCTCCAATCTGGCCTGGGGGATTCAAGCTGGTGCCATGATCATCTCATGGCCCTTAATGGTCACTCAGGAATAGGCAAAATTGTGGTTGTTCAAGCTAAAGATATCAGGGTTTCATAGCATTGTAGTAATAATGCTTTTGTTTTTTTTCTGATTGTAAATGTTTGACAATGAACATATATAGCATTTAAGCATACGGGAAAGTACAAAAGATAGTCTGACGTATCAATGTAGTAATGATGCCAATGGTAACCAGCATTTACACCAGGCACTGTGTGGTGTAAGCACTCTATGTATCATTATATTTAAACCTCACAGGAATCCTATGAGATAGGTGCTATTATTTACCTCTTTTTGACAGATTGGGAAACTGAGGCATAGAGAAGTTAGGAAACTTGCCCAGGGTTGCAGAGCTCATTAGCAGGGAGTCTGCCCCAAGGGTCTATATGTTAACTGCCATATCACATCTTTCCCTTGGTTTAGGTATATGTTCTGGGTTTTATATTTTTACTTTTATTTCTCTTAACATTCTGGAATAAACATGTTTCCAGCATTCTCTGCTATTTACACATTGGTCCTTCTTAATCACTCCCTAATTATTGTTCTAGCTTCCTGTGGTGGCTCATTTGGCCTTGGCCATATTCTCATGAGGCTGGTCAGGGGAGTTTAGAGTTGCCCGAGTGGCCCTGATTGTGGGTCCTCCCCTGCTCTGAACTTCATCTATGAGCTTGGGCAACTCACACATGCTTCTGTGGCCCTCTGTTTTATTATCCGCAAAGTGGAGGTGAACGAGGTGTCAGATGAGAAGCCAGATGTGGGAGTAATGTGATGATGTCCTCAGTGTTGCAGAACAGTGAGGGAGGGAGGTGCTGCAATACTGTTTGAACTGCTTACGAGTAAGCTCTTCACGTATTAAAGACTCAGGAACAGGTCTGTCGCTTGGCCACTTCTCTTGGGCAGTGATCAGGAAGCAGCCCCAGAGCCCCTTGGGAGGGGCTGGGGAGAGATGGAGGAGGACTCTGGAAACAAGGCTTGGGTTCCCCAAGTTGAATGCCGGAATTGTGCACACCCTCCCTCCCGTTTGTTTTCTCTCTGAGGCAGCAGAAGTACGTGGATTACTTGATGCAGGAGTTCCAGGGAACGGAGGAGATGAGGAAGAGCCAGTACCACCTGCGCTTCCACCTTCCCATGATGATCGTCCCCCTGTAAGGAGCCTCTTCCCTGGGGGTGTGACTGAAGAGTGCTGGTGTGGCCCTGCAGCGAGCCCCTTCCTAAATCCATGAGCCACTCTTTGTTGGCGCTGACCAAAGGTCTGGTACCAGGCCTGGTGCTTCACGTCCTTTAGCTAATTTCAGCCTCACAACCCTGTAGGTGATCTGTCCCCATTTTACAGATGAGAAAACTGAGGCTCAGAGAAGTCAAGTGGCTTGCCCCAGGCCAGTAGATAGAGAGTGGTGGGGTCACTCTGTTTGTTGTTCTCAGTCTCTATTCCCCCAGTATCCTGCATTGTCCTTCCTCCAATGGCCAGTGCTGAATGGGTCTGGCAGTTTCATCCACAGGGGCACAGATGGCTTACATACGTGTGGACGGGACATGTGGATGTGTCACCTCTAGGTGACAGGGAGGAAACCTCTCCTTGAGTACCCAGCCAGGCCATGGAAGCCTCTGCATTGCTGGCCCTTGGAAGCAGGTCTCTCTGTTACTCCTGCAATGTGGCGCTCTGTCTCTGCCACGACTTCTGTCTGACCCTGCCTGTCCACTCCTCCTGGTGGCTCCCTACCCACTGTGCCTACTGGGCCTTGACCTTGTAGGGATGGAAAAATGTCTTTTCCTTCTACGCATCTTAGGTTCATAGATTTGGTTCATTTTGTAACAGAAGACAGATTCAGAAGAGAAGAGCATACAAATTTCACATAAGTTTTACATGATGCTGGCCTTCACAAAGAAAGACCCTAAGGAGCAGTTAAACCTTAGTGTTTTTATGCTAGATTTGATGAAGAGTGGGGCAGTCATGGAGAAGTACAATAGGACAAAGGGGTATGAGCTAAGTGTAATAACCTGGAGCAAACTCAGCAAGGCCTGCTTGTTCAGATTCCTCTGTGTGTCATAAGCATGTTCCTTCCCTCCAGGCATTCAGAGGGCACCTCTCAAGTGAGAGTCTGTGTCCTGCCTCAGGGGAAGGTCAGAAAGTCCTTCCTGAACACTTTCTCAAATTCCTTCAGCTTAAAATGTTTGATATGCCAAGTTGCAATATTTTGGGGTAGCATGCCTCAAGCCCCCTCAACCTCTTCCTGTGTCGTGGCCATGTCTGCCTCTCCTCTGTGTGTTCCTTCCACCAAACTCCCTAAGAACAAGTAGCACTCCAGTGGCTCTGCCAGCTGGCCCTGAGCACGTCCCCCTGCAGCCAGGGCTCTTGAACTGGGCAGCCCATGAGCCAGTGTCTCCTTCCTGGAGCCCACCTTGGGTTGGAGCACCAGCTGCCTGGGGCAGGTGGCTGGGGCCAGGAGCCAGGTGCTGTGGTACAAGGTATGGTGACCTACATTTGTGGCCTGGTAAGGAGGGGGCTGTGGATGAGTCTATCCTGAGAGGATTACACCCAGAACAGGCCATGGAGGAGACCAAGAACTAGAAGGCGGTATTCAAGCAGCCTGGAGTCTAATAGAGAAGATGGTTCAAATGAAAATTATGAAAAGGTAACTTAAAAAAAAAATTGGGATTTAATTAAGAAAAAGCCAATAAATAAATATGAATGATAGAAGATTTTGTAACCATGAATTTTGGCATGAAAACTGCTTGATGTAGCCAAGACTTCACTGATCTTGTTATTTCCTTGGGACATTTAGATCCCAAGGGTCTGTAAAGAGCCTCAGGCAAAAATGTCAAGAAGCTTGTCCCTATTTTCTCCTATTGATTTGCTCAACCTACAGACCCAGAGAGCATTTCCAGCTTGGTGGGAAAGACTACTTTTATGAAAGGGTGATTTTTAAAAGTTTCCTCACCTTTTCTGAGCCTGGGCCAAGTGCACCAAATACACCATCTCATCTGTTCCCATGATAGTCCTGGAGTAGAGGTGCTGTCATGCAGATGAGGAGACCGGGACCCCACTGAGATGACATTTCCCTGGGGCTGGCTTAACTTTTCGTAGCTCTCACATGTTGTGTTGTTCCTCACAGTCTTAAGCCCTGATTGTAGTAACAGAATTGGAAGTGGTCACTAGAGGAGTGACAGAATATTTGTCATGATCCATATAGATCTGTGGGCTGAGGGCTAGAGAGGAGAACCTTGTCCAGATAAGTGTTTCCTACCCCCTGCCCGGGCCCTGTCCCCCGCCAGCCTTTCTGCAGAGGTATGAGGGTACTTCAAAAAGTACCTCTTGGAAAAATTGAATGAAAAGACAATATGAATCTTTCCATGAACTTTTTGAAGACCCTTCATAGTAATGGCAGTCGAGTTTCACAGTGATGTGGCTTATCCTTAAGCCACGGGTCAGACCATGCCCACAGCAACATTTGGAAAGGCCTATGGAGGAAGGACCCAGGTTGAAGACCCTTCATAGTAATGGCAGTCGAGTTTCACAGTGATGTGGCTTATCCTTAAGCCACAGGTCAGACCATGCCCACAGCAACATTTGGAAAGGCCTATGGAGGAAGGACCCAGGAGCCTGGGTTCTAGTTCCAGCTCTGCTGTAACTAGGAAATCACTCCAGGCAGATGGTTATCCCCTGGGTCCCTGTAACATGAGGTAGCATTACCTGCCCTGCCAGGGCCCAAAGATTGGGCAGATCAGTGGGAGAGTGTCTGCTGTGCCATGTTGGGAAGTCAAAATGGCGGTGACCGTTAACGGCCGGATAGTTGGCTGAGCCAACTGGGGGCAGGAAAGAAGCCACTGGAGGGAGGAGGGTTGTATCTGGTGATGCCAGGCCTGTCCCAGGAACTGTTTGCCATGCTCAGTGCATGTCCTTGAAGATGAAGAGTTTGGTGCCCAGGCCCTAATGCCTCACTGCCCCCTTGTCCATTTTTATCTCTTTCTCGGATCCCATTCTCCCCTCTACCCTGGGGCACCAGAGCTGTTGCTGGAAAGTGTTATCAGTTTGCAGTCACAAGCCCACTCTGCTCTCCCTCTGTGGCTGCTTTTCCTATAAAAGAAGCTTTGCAACTGACCCCTGTTGTCTGTCTCCTTGGTCCCATCGCAGCCCAAGGAAGCTATTCCACAGGATGAGCTTCCTGCTCTGGAAGCTTCAGACCAGCATCAGACCGGCATCAGGCTTGGGGCTCTTTTTCTTTTGGCCACTTTGATGACCCAGTCGAAATCTGCTTGGTGGGAGGGTGGTGGTGGCGGGGTTTGTAGGGTGTATTAGTCCGCTTCCATTGCTTATAATAAAATACATGGAACTGGGTGGTTTATAAAGAAAACAAAATTTATTGCTTACAGTTTCTGAGGCTAGGAAGTCCAAAGTCCATTTGGTGGTGGTGACACTGAATCAGGGGTCTTGTAAGATGGTGGAAGCAGAGAGAGCAAGAGACAAACTCTCTTCTTTTAAAGCCCTCAGAACCACACCCCTGACCACCATTTTTAATCCATTCACTACTGTACGGTCCTACAACCCAATCACCTCTTCAAGGCTCCACCTTTCAGTTACCATAATAGGAGTTCCCACCCTCTTAACAGTCACAGTGGGGGCTAAGTTTCTAAAACATAAAACTTGTGGGACACGGGGCCGGCCCGGTGGCGCACTGGATAGTGCGCCGCTTGGGAAGCGCGGCGGCGCTCCCGTCCGAGGGTTCGGATCCCATATACAGACCGGTTCCCGCTCACTGGCTGAGCGAGGCGCGGGAGCAACACCGAGGCTTGCGATCCCGTTGCCGGTCCCCGGTCCGGTACGGGGGCAACACTGAGGGTTGCGATCCGTTGCCGGACACGGAAAAAAGACAAAAGACAAAAAAAAAAAAAACAAAAAAAACTTGTGGGACACAATTCAAACTTCAATGAGTTTTGGGGGGACATAATTCACTCCACTACATGGGGTCGCACATCTCATGGGGCCAGCCAGAGTTTCTTGATGTGCGTGTGTGTGTGTGTGTGTAGGGCTCCTCCTGCGTGCTGCTGCTTTCTTCCTCTGGGCTCTTTGTTCTCATGCAGGTGCTTTCTTCTTTCTGAGCTGTTTTTGCTTGAGCCCTTCTCTCGTCACCTTCCACAGGAATCATGGGTGTGAGGTTGTGAAAGTGGAGTTTTTAAACCACCGGTTCAAGAAGATTGGGTGTTTTCTGACTGTCACCAAAGATGGAATCCTGCAGTTCTGGACTGAGTCCTTCTCTCTGATTAGCTCCTTTAGGGTGAGTGGGACCCCTACACATGGAGCACACATGGGGTCATTGGAGAGCCTCCACCTTAGCACCCCGATAGTGAAGGTGACCCAGACCCAGGGTGGGCTTTTTCTTGGGATTTGTGGTCTAAGCAGCCTGGATTTGTAGTCACCGTACCTGGGTCCAGGTCTGGCTTCACCGTGGAAGTCTATTTCTTTTTTGCTAAGCAGGACTCTGCCTGCATGCCCATTCCTCATGGGTGTTCTACAGATACCTCAAACCCGGGTTGTCCAAACAGTGACTGTGGCTCTCCCTGCCCGCCAGGCTCCTTTTTCTTGCATCCCCATCTCAGTGAATGGCATCATCATGCAGCAAGGCTCCTGTACTAGAAGTCAGCTTCCTTTCCTTTCCCTGTCACACCCACACTATCCCCAAGTCTTGCTGTCTCAAACCCTTTGCCTGGATGAGGGAGTGTGGGTGGTTGTGAGTGTGGGCATGGGAGCCCGACTGCCAAGGTTAGAATCCTGACTACCATCTACCATCTCTGTGATGCTGGACAAGGTACTATATAGCTCTCCGTGCCTCAGTTTCTTCATCTGTCCAACGGGGCTAGTAATAGTACCTCTTCCCAGGGCTTTTGGGAGGTTTTAATGACACACTACATGCATAGTGCGTGGAGTGGAGCAGGGCACACACCAAGTACCCAGTAAATATAAGCTGACATCATCGTTGTCTTTGTGCTGTCACTCCTGGCCAAGAGCAGTATGTGCTGACATTCAGGGAAACCCACTGTGTACTTGGTGTTGCCAGGCCAGTCTAGAATCCTCCAGCAAGCGAGGACAGCACTGCTCCCCAGAGCTCTACTGAAAGGCTTATAGAGAATGCTGCCCACAGCATGAGGGTTTT